TTTTGGTTTTTTCCGTTTTTTTTTTTTTTGGAAAAATTCAAATTTTTTTTTTTGAAAAAATTTTTTTTTTTTTTTTGGTTCAAAAGAAAAAAAATCTTCAGAATTTTTCCAGAATTGTCAGCAAAAAAAAGAAAGAAGAAATCCTTCTCATCATTTGACATCATTTCTCATGAAAATTCCGGTTCAATGAAAATTCAACTTTTTTTTCATTCTGTTTTTTGGATTTTGAAGAAAAAAAAGTTAACTTTTTTTTCCATTCTGCCAAAAAGATCAAGACAGCGATGACAGTTTTTAGTTCCTGATTCCTTCATCTTTAAATTGAAAAATAAAACAAACGAAAAAATCTTTTTCAATTATTCATTATCATCGTCATCATCATCGGGATTTTATTTTTTTGAAAATTTGTCATTTGTCAATCGACTATTTTAACCCACTAAACCACTCTATAAATATTTGACATTTTTGTTTGTTTTTTAATTTTATAGATTTTTTTTTTGTTGAAAAAAAAAGTTTTTTTTTTAATAAAATCAGTAAACATTGGTAAGTTTGTAACAAAAAAACTAAACTAAACTAAACTATTTTAACATTGTGCGTGCGTTACGTTTTTCATTTTCATTTTCAAACGAAAAATTTCCGAAAATTTCCGAAAAATTTCTCAAAAAGTTTCCTTCTCCGATCGATTTCTAAATTTCCTTCCCCCCATCATCATCATTATTCCCTCCCCTAAATGTTTATTTTTGTTTCCCAAAAAAAAACACCATCAAAATCACCATTATCACGTCCATCATCATCATAATGGTCATTGTTGTTGTCTGTCTGTCTGTCTGTCTGTGATTTGTTGGTCATCAGAATCAGAAAACAAGAAGAAGAAAAAACATAAATTTTCAGTTTGATTTTTTTTTTACGAAATTGAATTGAATTTCTTGACCAAATCAATTATTCATTTTTGTCTCTTGCTCCATAATAACAATGATGATGAAACTTTTTCTCTCGATACATCTCATTATTATCATGTTGGTGGTTGAAAATTTTGAATTGGTTTTTTTTTGGTTCGACCAAGCAAGCAAGCAGAAAATCCAAAATCCAAAATAAATAATTAAATCGTTGATGATGAAACGAAAATGATCATTATGAAGATTTTTTCTGGTTGCCAGATTTATAAATCTTCAATCAAAAATAAAACAAAAAACAATGTTGGAAATTTGCTGTTTGGTTTTTTTTTCTGGTTTCTCTAGGCTCGTGCCTAGAATTTTTTTTTCCAATTTTTCGAGGTTTTGATTCGTTAATCTAACCACCACTATATCAAAACCAAAAAATCCCAAAAAAATGAATATTTATATGAAACAACAACGAAACGAAAACAAAATCCCAAAGTAAATCCTTTAGGGTTAATCCTATTCACACACCATACACACAAACATCGTGATTGGATTTTTGGTGGTAAAATTTCAATTTTTTTTTTGTTTTTTTTTTTTGTTTATCTAAAACCGATAATGATGTTTTTTTTATTGGGAAAATGAAAACAAATTGAATTTTGATTATAATTTGAAAAAAAAATTTCCTTAAAATCTATGATGATTCGCGAAAAATTTATTTTTCCGGAAAATTTCCCAAGAAATATACTGTTTTTCTCTGTGATTGTTGTTGTTTCTTTCAAAGAAAGAAAAAAAAATATTCGATCCGTAATTCACGCTATTCCTAAGTGGAAATAGTGTCTGAGATTGGATTTTTTTTTTCTTTTTTCGCTTTTTTTCTCATTGAATGTTTTCCACCAGTCTCAACAACTATAAGTTTTTCTTTTCTTTTCTTTTATTTGGAAGAAAAACAAAATAGATCGAATAAATATAGCAGAATCCCGGACGATTGATTAATAGATGAATAATAAATCTTTGTGAATTCTTCTTCTTGTTTAAAACCGAAGTAAATAAAGAAAATTACAGAAGCAAATAAAATATCTTTTGGTTCGATTTTGTCGCTGTTTTTTCAACTTTTTTCAAAAAAAAAAAATTTTTATTTTATTTTTTTTAGAAAATAAAATTCATAATGATGGATATGACACACACACACACACACAACGATCACCAAACAAAAAAAGAAAAGATGGATGGATGGGATGGGAAATGATGAACAAAAAAAACCCAAAAAGAACGCCCATAACAAAATGAAAAAGGAAATGCCTGCTTTCCCATATTCAGCGATATTTCATCAGACAAAAAACATTTGACATTATCATCATTGTCATCATTTTCATTGAAAAAAAATGAATTTTTTTAAAGAATTTTTTTCATTTTATTTCGTTTTTTGAACAAAACAAAATGACCAGCAAGCAAACAACCAAGCAAATAACCAAGGAATAGAAGAAAACCATGAACATTCTTATGTGAATTGATGGATATTCAATGATAACAGCTAGCCAGCCAGCCAGTCCATCTTTTTTTCTTCATTTAAACATTGTATAATGCATATTACATAACAAGAGAACATTGTCATTGAGAACAGAACAGAACAGAAAAAAGTGGAAAAAATATGAATGTAAAATATGAATGATGACAGCAACGATGAAAGTCCATTTTCTTTGATATCCATACTTGTTTGTTATCTTTAAACAAGTGAATGAAAAAACGAACGAACAAGGAATACTTCTTGTTCGCTTGAAAGAGTTTTTGTTTTTTTGTTCACTTTTGGTTCATTTTTGTTCACTTTTGTAAAGTACACCAGTATTGTAAGTTTGTTTTTCAAACAAGCAAAAAAAAATCAATGCATTTTTTGTTACAGATATTATCTTTCGATGTTCATCTCAAACGAAAAAAAAATGTTGTAATATCCTATCTGTGACGAAAAGAAATAGTTTGTTCTTGGTCGACACATTCTTTCTCTGGTTATATTCAGTTCTGGTTGCTGGAGATGTTAATAGAAATTTTTTTTTTCCTTTTTCGAAAATTCTTTTCTTTTGTTGGTCATCACTAATTCAATGAACTATTTTCATATCGATGTCGAAATAGAATCTAATCGTATCGAATGGATCGATCGATCGGTCAATTTATTTATTTATTTATTTATTTACAACAACAACAACAACCAGGTTCATTTCCAGTTTGTTTGTTTGTTTGTTATTGAAACTTGATGTTTTGTTTCGTCAGTTTTCTCACTGTGTTTCTTGCTCATTATTATCATTATTGTTGGTCGATTGGTTGATGCAATTTTTTTTCGTTTCGTGTTTTTTTTATTAACACCAAAAACCAAACTAGAAAATGAAACGGCCAAAAAGAGAAAATATAATAATGTAATAAATGTTCAAATGAGAAACATTAAATAGTCAGAAGCGAAAATTCTGAATTTCTGAATTCTGAATTCTTTATGTTTGAAATGTGTAAACACACATATATAAGAAACAAAAGCAAAAACAAGCGAAAAAAAAAACGATACATTTCGGTAGTTTTTTTTTCTTTGCTGTATACTGATTAGGTGTGTAGGTGTTAATTTTTTTCTTTGTGTTGGCCACTTTGAAATTGTGAACAATGAAATTATATTGAAAAGAAAAAAAAAATGGAAACATTGTTTCTTTCTCGGTCGGTTTCGGTTATTTCATTTTCGGTTATTGTTTGAGATGCTAAACTCCCCACTCAATCATTTTTGACCAGGAACCAAAAAAAAAAAAAATTGATGCAATGACCGGAAATGTGATGTTTCAAAAACAACAACAGCAACAACAACAACCGAAACGAAAAAAAAAATAGCCAACACATTTTTCACATCACATTGTCGATGTGGTCATTCTCTCCTCAATATTCATTTTATTCTGGTTGTTTTCTTTTGATGGTTATTTCTGGCCATAAAAAAAAAAATTTTCTCCATCATCATCATGATGGTTTACCGGGAAATTTCTTATTGTTTGTTGTTGTTGTTGTTGTTGAAACCATATTTGATCCAACAACAACAACAACAACAAACAAACAAACAAACAACAACCACAACCGTAAAAAACAACAAAAACTTTTCTTTTAGTTTTATTTTTTCCATTTATTTGATTGTCGGTGATGATGAAAATAAATGAACATCTCTCAGACTCTGAATATCATTTTCAT